GGAAAAATAGGAGGAAAATGAGAAAAAATGGGAGGAAAATGGGAAAAATAGGAGGAAAATGGGAAAAAATGGGAAAAATGTGAGGAAAATGGGAAAAATAGGAGGAAAACGGGAAAAATGGGAAAAATGTGAGGAAAATGGGAAAAATGGGAGGAAAATGGGAAAAATGGGAGGAAAACGGAAAAAAAATGGTGGAAAAAGAGAAAAAATGGGAAAAATAGGAGGAAAATGGGAAAAAATGGGAAAAATGGGAGGAAAAATGGGAAAAATAGGAGGAAAATGGGAAAAATGGGAGGAAAAATGGGAAAAATGGGAGGAAAACGGGAAAAAAAATGGTGGAAAAAGAGAAAAAATGGGAAAAATAGGAGGAAAATGGGAAAAATGGGAAAAATGGGAGGGAAAATGGGAAGATAATGGGAGGAAAATGGGAAAAAATGGGAGGAAAATGGGAAAAAATGGGAAAAATGTGAGGAAAATGGGAAAAATAGGAGGAAAATGGGAAAAAATGGGAAAAATGGGAGGGAAAATGGGAAAAATAGGAGGAAAATGAGAAAAAATGGGAGGAAAATGGGAAAAATAGGAGGAAAATGGGAAAAAATGGGAAAAATGTGAGGAAAATGGGAAAAATAGGAGGAAAATGGGAAAAATGGGAGGAAAACGGGAAAAAAAATGGTGGAAAAAGAGAAAAAATGGGAAAAATAGGAGGAAAATGGGAAAAAATGGGAAAAATGGGAGGAAAAATGGGAAAAATGGGAGGAAAATGGGAAAAAATGGGAGGAAAATGGGAAAAATAGGAGAAAAATGGGAAAAAATGTGAGGAAAATGGGAAAAAAATGATGGAAAAAGAGAAAAAATGGGAAAAGTAGGAGGAAAATGGGAAAAAATGGGAGGGAAATGGGAAAAATAGGAGGAAAATGGAAAAAAATGGGAAAAATGGGAGGAAAACGGGAAAAAAAATGGTGGAAAAAGAGAAAAAATGGGAAAAATAGGAGGAAAATGGGAAAAATGGATGAAAAAATGGGAGAAAATGGTGGAAAAAGAGAAAAAATGGGAAAAATAGGAGGAAAATGGGAAAAATGGTGGAAAAAGAGAAAAAATGGGAATAATGGGAGGGAAAATGGGAAAAATAGGAGGAAAATGGGAAAAAATAGGAGGAAAATGGGAAAAAATGGGAGTAAAACAGGAAAAAAAATGGTGGAAAAAGAGAAAAAATGGGAAAAATAGGAGGGAAAATGGGAAAAATAGGAGGAAAATGGGAAAAATGGGAAAAATGTGAGGAAAATGGGAAAAATAGGAGGAAAATGGGAAAAAATGGGAGGAAAATGGGAAAAATAGGAGGAAAATGGGAAAAAATGGGAGTAAAACGGGAAAAAAAATGGTGGAAAAAGAGAAAAAATGGGAAAAATAGGA